TTTTTCTCACTAGATTTATATAATTTAAGGCTAAATGATATTATTTTTCAACAGGATAATGATCCTAAACATGTCGCGGGTAAAACGATGAAGTGGTTTGCTAATAATAATGTGACTGTCTTAAGCTGGCCACCACAATCACCCGATCTAAATCCTATTGAACATCATTTGGCGAGAAGTGGATCTTCGTCTTCGTGAACTTCCGGGTATAATTGCCAATAAAGATGATCTATGGGAAAAGATAGAGGAGGCATGGGATAATATTGATATTGATTATTGTATTAATTTAATTAATACAATGCCACAAAGAATTAACGATGTAATTAAAGCGCAGGGGGGTTATACGAGGTGGTAAAAATAATGTTTTATATAATTTTTTATCCGATTATTATTTTTTTTAATAAAATTTTAAACGAAAAAGATTTTTATTTAAAAAACGGCAAAAAAAACGCACCATCGTTTATGCGGATTAACAATTATTGTCCATAATTGGGTATAATAATATCAGGTCGTTTTTTATTGAAATAATTAATAACTAACATAGTTTATATATCACTATTTGCATGTTTGTCGGATCTTTTCGTGATTGAGAATTGTGTGATTAAAGATCGACAATGCAAGTGGTGCGTTATTTTTGCATGCACTGTATGTAATTTTTTATATTTGAAGCGTGAGAATTTTGGTGAACATCCAATGTTTGATAGCAACCTACAGCGGCGTTGGTAAATTTCGGTCCATTACACATGATCTATGGAAAGTTATGGGGGGTAGACTAGAACTTGTAATATAACCGAATCTTCATTTCTATATATATTAGGATCATTTAAAAGCGCATTATTATATAATCCGCCAAAAAGGCTAATCGACATTTTTGTAATTTCTGTTTCATCTTGCTGCTCTATTAGTCCAATCGTATTCGTACTCTGCTCTGCATAAGCATTATTAAGTAAACTCAAATCCCATGTTAATTTCAATAGTTCTTCGGTACTCTGAAAACAAATTTTAATTTAATATTCAATTTATCAGAAAAGTGTTTCAGATAACAGAAGATCTGGTTAGAACGTTTACTTTTCTTTAATTACGTCAATATATGATTCAAATGATTTGAGAATTTTTGTTTATTGGATTTTGCATGTGTTTGTGTGGAGGGTATGAAATGCCGCATGAAAAATTGAACGACGACCTGCTGTATCTATTTCAGAACGATTTCGTCGTCGTGTTGTGGAAGATGTAAACGTCTTGGATTTTGAAGCAGTCATTTCTTGTTATGTATTTGTCAAATAATAAACAGGTATGTATATATTTGAATGACTATTAAAAGTTTTATTACTTAAAAAATTATTTAGGCAATTCGAGTTCACTTACACAAAAAATATTAGAAAATTGACATGGTTATGAAAGATAGTAAAAAACAAGAATACTTTTATTCGCAGATTCTCTGTCTGTGATGTATGCAATGTTCAAATGATTATGTTGTTGGCACTGGGTTTTGTCAAACTGCGGTAGATAAATTTAAAATTTGTTATTTAATATCATTAAGAACTTAGAAAGAATATTCGATTTAATTTAACCGAAACCAATTGGATAAACAACAGGTGCTTGTTCTATCAGACCTAAAGTAAAATAATGTTAAAAGAAATTTAAAGGATAAGTGCTCCCCTCCCCCGAAATTTTGATTGGACAATGACGAAATCAAATCACGTAATTCCCATCTTGTAATATTAGCATTTTTGGTTAATGCATGCATATAATCCAGTTCATTGTTGTATCGGTATTACATAATCCATTTTAGTTAGCGTTAAATAATTTTAATTGTTTCCAATCAATAAAAATACCAGTAGTTATTATCGTTTCAGTAATCCAGGTCCAAAAATTGATTATTTAAATTTTTAAATTGTTAGAAACTCGATCATTCTTGCTTGAAAAAATGAGTTATATTAAATATTTATCTGAAGCTGAAAAAGAACTTCTGAATAAACGTCCTTATCATTTAACTCTCACGATCGAAGAATTGACAAATCCTATCCAGAAAAAACGCGACAAACCCCCACGTACACAAAACAGTTGGATTATATTTCGAAAAGACTATGAAGCTAATATACGTTTACACAGCCCTAATGTAAAGCAAGAAGTAAAAAACACAGCAAGGGAATGTAGCTTAAAGTGGAAAAAGCAATCGAATGAAGTCAAACATTTTTTTAAAATATTGAAGAAAATAGCTTATGAAAAGCATAAATTTGTATATCCTAATTATAAATATAAACCAAAATATAGGAAAAAATTAAGATGTAAAGAATTTATTTTTCGAGAACACATATTTACAAAAAATCTCGATTCATGCCAAAAAGTATTGCAAATTGACGAATTGTCATCTGTAACTTTCAATCCACTTCAAGAAACAATACGAGTCGACAAATCGCCATCTTTAACTTTCAGTTCACCTCAAGAAACGATACAAATTGACGAATCATCATCTTTGACAACTAGTTCATCTCAAGATGCACAACTCGACGAATCATCATGCTTAACTTTCAGTTTATCTCAAGAAAAGTTACAAATCATGCCTTCTTTAACTTTCAGCTCACCTCAAGAAGCGATACAAGTTAGTGAATCATCTTTAACCTCTAATTCATCTCAAGGAGCACAAATCAACGAATCGTCATGTATAACTTTTAGTTCACCTCATGAAGCGATACACGTCGGCGAATCATTATTTTTAACATCATCAAATTCTACAGCTATATATAATGATGATACAAACAATTTTACAACGATTCTTTATAATCACCAAGACTCACTCGGTAATGTTCAAAATTTGTACGCCGACATATTTAATGAATTAGATAATCAGATTCCTAATTTATTTTTTTTCGATAATGATAACGATACCAATAACAATAACGATAACAATAAGCATACAGATATGTATGAAACTTCTTTAAACAAATTAATTTCTTTCGAATTAAACGAAACTAATATAGATAATGATGATAATACTCCATTGACATCGTCACAATCACAAGCACCTCCACAATTATTTATGTCAAAATATAATTCACGTCTTTTTTGATAATTATAAGCACTAGACACACTTAAGTATTAGATAATTGTTTAACCTTTTTTTAAGCATTCACCTAACTCCTTTCAACTTTGTTCATAATACATATAATATAGAAAAGATTTATGAATAATTCTTAAAAGTAGTATTTCTAGCATTAATTGGTGAGTTTATTAGATGATATATTTATTGTATGTCCTTTTTTTATTCTTCGTACTTCCGTTCTGTTCTTCCGCCACTTCGCTCTTCTTTACTTCGTTCTTCGTTATCATTCTTTCGTTAAGTCGTTCTTTTGTTCTTCGTACTTCGTTCTGTTCTTCCGTCATTTCTCTCGTCTTTGCTTCGTTATTCGTTCTTCGTTATTCATTATTTCATCCTTTCGTTAAGTCATTCTTTTGTTCTGTTCTTTCAATTTTTACTCTTATAATTTCTTGTTTTTAATATTATCGACATTTAATTGTTTTATGATTGAAAACATTAAGCCAAAGCTTGTTATAAGCAATATGCAATATAATGAAATTCGTATTAACGAAAAATTTATCATTTCAAAAACAAAAAGTTTAGAAAAGTTTATTAACTTGATTGAAAATTTTGTTTCTTGAAAACCCACCATTCAACTTAATGAGTTTAAAGTATTTAACGCAAAATCTATGAATAGTTATTTTTATTTTATTGTAAGATGAGCCCGTAACAATCAAATTTCATCAGTAAGTTTGAGAGCACCATAACAATTGGTATTTTTATATGGTAAGGGTCCCTAAGATTCTAGTCCACATAGATTCCGTATTTATGTACTACATACAGCCGTGCTCCTCTATAGTCACTCCCCTCCTAAGTCACTCGGTCCCAATTTTTTCTTTAACAAATTGCCCCTTTTTAAAAAATTTACAATGTTGAACGTCTCGTAAAAGAATTTATAAATCATCACTATACTGTTACGCGATCTTGTGTTGAAATTACGTGATTCAAAGCAAATTATAAAGAGGTATAAATTAAACAAATTTTGAAGCATAACAAATCAATTTTTTCCAATAGAATGAAGTTTTTCAAAAATAGATTCGGGTTGTTCTAAAGACATTGACGATTACTTTGGAGAAAAATATCCATCTACATGTATAATTTATGATGATGCTGACGATGCTGATGTCTACCTTGACAGTGACTTTCACCTTGGAAATATATTTTGGTCTTACCGACCCAGCAGATATAAAAAATAAAGAAATCTACGGACGAGATTATACCTGATGAACCGCCATTCTGTGTACGAAGTCATGGTAGAGATCTCGTATTCGATATTTATTATGGATTACGGCCTACGGGTGATGCAAATTTATTATTGAAAAATGTTGGAATCCGATTCCAGATAACAGACCAACTGCTGCAACTTCGAGACTTGATCGGATCTATCTACTAAGGGGATATAAATGGACCGAATATTTGCATTATCAGTTCTCGAGAATCAAATGATGAAATTAAAGGGTTCTTAAGTGGCATTGAAGAACTAGACGAGAAGATGAAATTATAAAAAAGTATTTCTACGAATATGAACGAAAAAATACGAATGCAATTTATATGAATCGAATCTTTACTTCAAATTTAATTTCAATTCCAACTTATATTATCGCGATCTCTAGTAACCCTCCATTTTTTCCACATTCTTCGCGATGTCACCTAATCGTTACAAAAAAACTCGCACTACTATTAGTGTTGAGATAAAAAAGGAAGAACGGCATCTCGAATGAACGAAACCCCGAAGAATGACATCCCAAACGAATGAAATCCCGAATGAACAGCATCCCTAATGTATGGAATACTAAAATTATCACAATTTCAGGATTTCGTGCATTTTGGGATGATGTTAGTTCGGGATTTCGTTTGTCGGGCTTATGAACGTTCGGGATTGCGATCTTCGGGATTTTGAACGTTACCACTAAAACCTCATCGCATACAAACGTTGGGCTTTATGCAATTTTAGAAATTGCAACTTTATAGCAAGATTGAACTGTTGGTTCAGCACCAAAAGTGATATCATCAGTATTGCAACGCGTAAAATTAATTGTTCTATTTGTTATTTGAGACAATATTTTGCATTCTATAGTCTGTAAGTGCGGAGCCGGTACGAAATCTCGACAAACGAAATTCCGATAAAGAAAGCATCCCGAATGCACGAAATACCAAAATTATCACGATATCGGGATTTCGATCATTCAGAATTTTTGAATGTCACCGGTCTGTGCTGTAACTGCGATGTATAATTTATTATAACAATAGCGAGAGTGCAAACGTTAAATTATTCAATTCATTAATTTTGCTGTCACAATATAAAATCCCGTGATTTCGAAAAATCCGTGATTACGAGATGCAAAACAAATCCAAAATTTTTTGCGAATTCATACAAAAAATTCTTACTGTAGCATCAACAGTAATGATTCTTCGCAAGTTCTTATAAAAGTTCTTACCTTGTGATATCAATAGCGACACTGCTTTCCCTAATAACACGAATTCTTTGCAAACATTCTTGTAGGTGGAAACTGATAAACATTCGTATCGTATGTTATTGCTAAATTCACATTTTACAGTGTGATTCAAAATTATTTGGAAAAATAAATTTATTATTACTTCGCAATCACCAAATCAATTATAATAAAAATATATTTATTTGAAAGATAAAAACATGTATTTTGTTAAAAAAACAAATTAATAATCAATAGTATCACCTTTACTCTCTATTACTAGCATACATCTTCGTTTCATCGATTTTACTAAACTCTCTAATGTATCATTTGGAATTAAATTCCATTCCTCCTTCATAAATGATTCTAATTGGTCCAAATTTTTTGGTTTTCTTTTTTCTACGTTTCTTTTGACTATATTCCATAGGTTTTCGATTGGATTTAAGTCCGGGCTACAAGATGGTCAATCAATAACTTTAGGGACATTCAATTCGAGGTAAGACTTTGCAAGATGGCTTGTATATTTTGGATCGTTATCCTGTTGAAACCTCCATTTTCTTCCCAGAAGAGCATTAATATCCGCAATATTATTTTTTAAAATATCTACATAAAATTCGGCATTCATTGTTCTTCTAAAACAAAATAAATCAACTTTACTCACTTTACAAAACCACCCCACGCAAAGATTTTTCTCTTATCTTTAGGAATTCGACGAACCGGTCTTGGACCCTTATGCCACTGATCAATTGTGTTATGGAAGAGTTGGAATACAGTTTCATCTGTAAAAAAAGGTTTGTTCCAATTGTCGTTCATGGCCCACTCCACCCATTTCTCTTTATGTTGCAAAGTAATCATTGGCAAAGCTTTTGGGATATCATTTTATAGTCGTGATCCCACAAATGTGTCGGTTGAGATACTGTTCCACCTAATTCTGTCACCAAACTTCTTGTTGGTATAGAAGGATTTTTTTGAATTAGCCGCCTGATTTTTGTGAATTTCTCACGAAATTACCTTTGGACGACCCGCCCCTTTTGACTGTGTTACTTTTCCGAGCTTTTTTAGGTTGTAATAGATAGTTGACGTTGGTATTTTTGTTGCTGTAACTATTTTTTTGGCAGTATGTATGCCCCGTTCCAATAAGATAAGAACATTTGTCGTTGGTCACGGAAGGTGGTAGCAGCCATTTCAATTTAGAAACTCGTCGCAAAGAGAATTAAATCTGTGGGAAGTTTACTAGATATCTATTCTCCTATTCGTCTATTTTTTGTAGTACATTTTATTCTAATTTTGGTTATTTCATGTGCGACGATTGATGACAATCATTTTCCAAACGCAAAATAATTTTGAATCACACGGTATTAGTATTAGAGGAGAGATCTAGAAAAATTCAGCTTTTAGTCCTAAATTCGCTAAAAGATAGAGTGAAGGAACATACGTGTAGACATTATTATTATTCGAGCTACATTAAAAATTTGCCAATTGGAATTGGAATATTAGGACGTGAGTAAACTCTCTTAATTTTTCTATTAATATTTTTATTTATATTTTCTTACATTGGAAGATGGAATATCAAAGCGTGACGGAAAATGAAAGCGTCCAGATATTATATCATAGCGAAGTATCTATGAACTAATTTTACAGAAAGTTCACGCATGATTTGTAATAATGCTTTATATTGGATGAATAGGAGATTTAAATTAGAACAAATGAGTTCGGCATTCTTGGATTCTAAGTTGCAGGAGAAAAATTCTAATTAATATGTTCTTATTCGTGATAAAGAAAATATAAGCTTCTTTTGGTTTCTGAGGAGTTATCTAGACTTTTTAAAACTACCATTCTGTGATTTTTATACTTTCTTCTTTAAATTGGTTAAGAATTGGGCATTTTACGCGATTGGTAAATGTTTCGTGGTATAGTTTTTTGTTTTCTTCTTCTTTTTTATTTAATTCTTTAGTTAGTTTTTTTGTTTATAAAATTGCGTTTAATTGGTTAAGTTAGTGCTGATTTCAAGGCGAAGCGATATAAGGTCCAAATTCCAGTACATTTACTTCTTGCAGTGGAAATTTTCTCGTATTTCCTTTGGATTTTCTTTTAAGTTTGGTATTATTCCAACGCAATATACAGATAATAGGAAACTATTTTTGAGCTTTATTTTTACTATTTAATTCTAGAAACATGAAAGTGATGAAAGTAGTTCAACAATATCTTCCCTCCATATAATAATTGAGATTTCTTTAGCCTGTGCTTTGATTTGTATCAATTAGTGATTCTGATGATCAATTTCACAAACATACATTTATGTATCGGATAAATTTTTTCCTTTGCAGCGTGAACAATTAGTCATATACGAACATGCATTAGCATTTACAAAGGATGTATTTAAGAAAGAATTAACTGTATTTTTTATTTTTATATAAATGTTAATATTTCAAACTATTATTTTGAATGTAATTTTATTTTATTATAAAGATTAATAATGTATTAAGAAACTTTTCCAAAAATTATCCTATCAAATAAGTATAACTATTAATTTAGAAAATTCAAGAATAAAAGAAAGGG